CTGTATAAATCATTTAAGGGTAAAAATAGTTTAAGGTTTGTCATTACTGCATGTCAGTTACTGGTGAAATGACAACAGAGATGATCTTCACTCATCTAATATGTAGTAGTTCATTTAATGGAAGCATTTAATGGGGGTTTTACATAAGATAGTAGGGTGCACATGAGATGGACTTTTTGTTGTACAAAGTTAAATATAATATTGTCAAAATTAAAATTTTATTTTTGATTCTACTACTGATATAAGGTAAAGGTTGCTGAACCATTTTGGCATGAAAATTTTAGAGTGGATTAGTTGTTGTACAATAATGATGATTGATTTATTTATATTGGAGTTTTATACGTGAACTGAATAAAATATAATCCAATATGAAGAAAATCTTCTATTAGAACTGTGGGATATTTGTTATGTAAAAGTGAAATTTGAGTTGTTTTTGTTGAACATTGAGATATGCATTATGTTAAGTCTATCCTAATAATAAATTGGAATCATATGACGCTCAGGTGAGAATATATGAACTTTTTGTTGTGCATAGTGAATATTATGTTATCCTATGTTTGCCTAACCTGAGCATTCCTTTTGTTAACCCTAGCCTAATGATAAATTAAAATAACATGGACTTTTAGGTAAAAACATATGAACTTTGTATTGTGTATAGTGGATATTATGTTATACATTATTTGCCCACTTGTGTAATTTGTTAAGAAAGCCTAACCTATTAATATAAGCTAAAGGTTGCTGAACCATTAATTTGGTTCAGGTGAAAATATATGAACTTTGTGTCGTACATAATGGATATTATGTTGTGCCATATTTGCTTAACTTGAGCGTTCCATTTGTTAAACTTAACCTAATAATAAACTGGAATAACATAGACTTTTAGGTGAGAATATATGAACCTTGTGTTGTCCATAGTGAATATTGTATTATACATTGTTTGCCTACTTGTACAATTTGTTAAGGAAGCCTAATCTACTGATAGAAGCTAAAGGTTGCTGAACAAAATATTCATTCATATCTCACTCTATTGCCTTTGTTATACAGTGATGATTGTAAAATTCATCTCATTACATGGCTCAAATTCTAGAACAATACTGTCAATATTGACCATCCTCCATTTACCATGCCTAGATACACAACACAAGAACTATCGGTCATGAGATGTGACATATTATGCTGGCTGGTGGAGCATCCTAACAATGTCATCCGTGAATATCCACTTACACTTATGGGAATAGGCAAATGAGAAGAAAGATAATAAAATTGTGGAATTAAGTTCTTCTACTTGGATTATGTACATATTTTAAGATTTTTTTATAATTTAGAAATAGTTTTTATTTATAATTGAAATTATGTATATATTTGCACGAAAAGAAAACAAAATCTACAAGTTTCAGCCTTTCCATTATGTACAAGACAACATCCACTATGCACGAAAAGTCCATGAATTTTTGAGTAATTCAGTAGCCTTGGGTTTTGATTGAAATGGCTACACAGACCATCTATGACGAACACCTATTATACACAAGACAATATCCACGCATGCACAATGAAAAGTTCATGCATTTTCAATATTAATAAGGATAATTACATTAGATAAGAATTTCATGTTGATACTAGCCTAGGTACTAAAACAAGTACCCACATGAAATTTGACATCATATTTCAAGTCTGATATATAAAAAAAGTTACTCATTATATCTAAAACATTTAACAGTTGCTTTTCTATATACAAATAAAAAATATTTATCATTCCCAGTTATCCAAAAAATATTAATTGGGAATACTTCCATGTACATAATTATAATTGTCTATGTACACTAAAGAAATATAACGTAACTACTTCTCATGCTGAGTTAGGATTTTTGCATGTCTTGCAACTATATACAGCATTCCTACATCTTGAACATGATAAATCTTCTTATTTTGGAATTGAGACTCTAAAATTACTTTTCATCTCTTATATTAACCTGCAATGAACAAATTAATCTAAGTAAATGTTTACATACAGAAGCCCAACTTTTATTTTATACAATATAAAGTTCAACAAAAACAACTCAAAGTTCATTTTTGCATAATAAATACTCCAACGTCTTTAATAGCAGATTTTCTTCACATTGGGAGTCATATTGTATTCAATTTACATGTCAAAATTTAATATTAATAAGTCAACCATATATATTATACAACAACTAATCCACTCTGAAACTTTCACAACCAACTTAATGGTTCAGCAACCTTTAACTTTTATCAGTACATTAAGCTTCCTTAACAAATTGCACAAGTAGGAAAATAATATATAACACAATATCCATTATAAACAATACAATGTTCATATATTCTCATCTGAAAATCTATGTTATTCTAGTTTATCATCAGGCTAGGCTTAACAAATGGAATGCACAAGTTAGGCAAATATGGCATAACATAATATCCACTATGCACAATACAAAGTTCATATATTTTCACCTGAACTAACTTAATAGTTTAACAACCTTTAGCTTATATCAGTAGGTTAGGCTTTCTCAACAAATTGCACAAGTAGGCAAATAACATATAACACAATATCCACTATGCACAATACAAAATTTATATATTCTCACTTGAAAGTCCATATTATTCCAGTTTATCATTAGGCTAGGCTTAATAAAAGGAATGTTCAAGTTAGGCAAACATGGCATAACATAATATCCACTATGCACTACACAAAGTTCATAGATTCTCACTTGAATGTCATGTGATTCTAATTTATTATTATGCTAGACTTAACATAATGCACATCTCAACGTTCAACAAAAACGACTCAAAGTTTATTTTACACACCAAATACTTTAACATTTCTGACAGAAGATTTTCTTCATATTGGATTATATTTTATTCAATTCACGTGTAAAACTCCAATATAAACAAGTCAACCATCATTATTATATAACAACTAATCCACTCTAAAACTTTTATGGCCAAAATGGTTTAGCAACCTTTATCTCATATCAGTAGTAGAATCACAAAGAAAATTTCAATTCCAACAATATCATATTTAACTTTGTATAATAAAAAGTCCATCTCATATGTACCCTACTACCTCATGTAAAACTCCCATTAAATGCTTTCATTAAATGAACTACTACATATTAAATGAGTGAAAATCATCTATGTCACTACTTCACCAGCAACTGACATGCAGCAATGACAAACCTTAAATTATTTCTACCCTTAAATGATTTATGTAGCAACAACGGATGCCTCTCATTTCTATAGCAAGAATAGTAAAAATCTCAGTTTATTTCTATAGCAAGAATGTGAGAAACTTAAAAACCTCCAACTGAGATCTTGAAATCATCAAAGCATCATTTAAGATGGAGAGATTTTGAAATCTACACACCTCAAAAGTTACTCCCCCCTATTAGAGATTAGAGACATTCCCATTCTCCAACTGAATACCATTCCTATGTGTTTGTCACTCTTTCTCTGCGTTCAATTTCATTTCTGTCCATTAAGGGCAAAATAGTATTTTTGCTTTAAAGAAATATTGCACTTGGGGCTTGAAGGCTTGCAGAACAATTTCAGATTCATTTAGGTCTTAAGTGAAATAAACTTTATTTTTAAGGCCTTTAATACTATTCGTCCCTTTTTTTTTCTTGTTTGAATGAAGGAAGATGCATTAACTAACCAAGGTTGTTTCAATACATAAAGATGATCATCTCTTTTCGACATCCAATACTGGTCTGCATTAAGGTGGGGGTTAATCAAGAAAGTAAAAAGATTCAATAAGATTCTCAACAAAACTAGCAAGCAAATGGACACAATTGTTTGCCTATTTAAACATAAAATTTAAATTTAAAGAAACAAAATGATTCTCATGCAAAATGAATATGACCTAATTCAAAATATTTTTATATGGGTGATTATTCATCTCCAATCATTGGATCAAATTAATTATTTCAGCATAGTCTATAGAAACACTAACTTTATGAAATTCCTTGTTAAAACAAAACTCCACTCCTTGAATTATACTAATAATCTTTGTTATAACAAGAGGAAAAGATCCCGCAGATGAATCAAAACCAACAACCCATTCTGCATTGCAATTTCTTGCCACACAACCATGACATGAGATGCCATAGAATCCATCTAGCACTAAGCAAATGGGTTACGGGCCAACTCGCGGGCTAGCCCGCGTGGGCTAGTATTTTTATGGGTTGGGTTGGGCCAGCCCATCAAATACAATGGGCTAGAAAATCTAACCCAACTCATTTACTAGCAGGCTAGCCAACCTGCGGGCTGGCCCGCAAAAAATTATCAAATTTTTTTAATAATTTAAAATTTATATAATATAAATATATATATTTATTTAATATTTTAAAGTAAATTAGAAATTAAAAAATTGTAAATAAATAAAATAAACATAGAATTCAAGCAAACAAATTTATTTTGCTAGATTTTTATTATCAATCATCTTCCCACCAAGGTGTGCCAACTTTATTACTGAGAAAGAAAATTTGAATATAAACTCATATTTTTTTCTCAATGAATTCATATTTATAATTTTAATGAATAGATCTCATGATAGTAATAAATAATATATATTTAAATATATCTATAAAAACTAATAAATCATCTTCACAAACTATAACAAAAGTTTTATTCGCAAATTATAAAAAGAATTTATACTACATTTCAAACGTAAAGAATATTTTTTAAAGTGACAAATTATATATTTAAAAAATATTATCATTATTGTATATTTATAAAAAAATATAATGTAATTAAAAAATAAAAAATTATTTTTTTTAAAAAAATGCTAACTCTTGAGTTAACTTATTTTAATCCACTATTTTTATGGTTAGGTTAATTCAACTCATTTTAAAAAACAGACTAATTCTTTTAATCTAACCCATCAAATTATATGAGTTAAATGAGTTCATACTCGATCCATTTTTCCGATCCTAAATCCATCTACATCTGCATCTAATGTCACCGCGTTCTCTTCCAGCGTATGCCACTGAGCATGTGGAGAAGGGCTGTTTTGTGGGACCCACAGCCCCTTTCCTCTCTTCTTTCTCGTTCTCTCTCTGTGTGCCAACGCTGTCGGACAGACAATTTCCATGTAATTATGTTGAAATTGGGTGGTGGTTTCTTGTCCGGAATGTAAAATTGAATTTTAAACGCTTATAGTCGGTCGTCTTCCAAATTCAACGTCGTCCCTATACAAAACTCTCGAGTCTCGCCACCATTACCTTCTCTCTCATTCTCTTTCTGCAATCTCTATCTCTCTCTCCCCACTAAAATGGGTGGTGGTAATAGTCGACACGTTTCTCGCCCTTCTACTCGGCGAGTCAACCACACCAACCGCTTCAGTCTTTCCTCTCTTTTTCCCTGCGGTGCCTCCACTTCTCATGCTACTTATGAGGTATATCTTTTTTGTCCCCAGTTTTCCATCTGCCCAATTTCCCATGGCCAAGAATCGGTATCAGTGGGCTTGACGGTTTCGAGATTAGTCAGTTCGACCCAATTTTCGATTGGGCTCACTTCATTGATGGTGCAAGTTGGCGATTGCCGAAACTTAATTATTTTCGGAATCACTTCTTTTAATACTTTAGATGATCCTTTATTGACATGATCCTGGATGAATGAATTCCTTTTATGTTGTTTGATGTGAATCCGCTAGTTTCTGAATTGGGTAATCAGGTCTAAATGGTAGTATATTCATGATTTGTTGGAATACATAATAAAAGAGAGGGTTAGATAGTGGTTCGACGATATGTAGTTGGAAGTATGGTGGACTCTATTTTAGGTTGAACTCTCTATATAACTAAATTAGATTTGGTACTTGGAATGTTGGGACATTAAATTGTAAATCTGTAGAGGTTGTAGGGGTTATGATTCAAAGGAAAATCAATATCCTTTGCTTGCAAGAAACAAAATGGCGTGGAGAAGAAGCTAAGGATATTCAAGGTTTCAAACTTTGGTATACAGGAAAAGTAAGTGCACGCAATGGAGTAGGCATCATTATAGATAAGGAGTGGAAGAAGAACGTTGTAGAAGTTAGCAGAATTGGAGACAGAATTATTTCTTTAAAAATGATAATTGGACGTGAGACTGTTAATATTGTTAGCGCTTATGCGCCGCAAGTCGGGATAGAAGCCAGTCTTAAGGAATTATTTTGGGAGGATCTGGAGGGGTTGATTCGACACATACCACAGAGTGAAAAGATTTTTATTGGAGGAGACTTTAATGGGCATGTCGGGAGGGAAGCTGGTCAGTATGCGAGGGTGCATGGTGGTTTTGGTTTTGGAGAGCTAAACAATGAAGGGCAAACTCTTCTTGATTTCTCATTGGCGTATGATTTTAAGATTGCCAACACTTGTTTCAAGAAGAGAGATGAGCATCTCATCACCTACAAAAGTGGAGCCTCAAGGTCGCAGATTGATTTTCTTTTGGTTAGGAACACAGATAGAAAACTTTGTAAAAATTGTAAGGTGATCCCTGGAGATGCTGTAACGACACAACATAGGGTCCTAGTCCTTGATGTGTGTATTATGAGTAAAATCCAAAAATGTCGACAAGTAGTAACACCAAGGATTAGGTGGTGGCAATTAAAAGGTGAGAAGCAAGATATTTTCAAGCGAAATCTTTGGATAAAGGAATTTGGGATTCTCAGGGAAGTGCTAACATCATATGGGAGGATATGGCTAAAAAGATACGGGAGGTTGCAAAAGTAGTTTTGGGAGAATCGAAAGGTCCTGGTCCGAGAGATAAGGAGTCTTGGTGGTGGAATAATAGTGTACAGGACAAAATCAAGTATAAGAAGAACTGTTTTAAAGCCATACATTTGTGTAACAATGAGGAAAATTGGGAGAGGTACCGTATGGCTAAGAAGGAAACTAAGAGAGCTGTGGGTGAAGCTCGTTCTAAAGCTTTTGAAGAATTTTATAAGAACCTTGAGACGAAGGAAGGAGAGCAAAATATTTATAAGATTGCCAAGAGTAGGGAAAGAAAATCAAGAGATCTAGAACAGGTAAGGTGTATTAAGGATGAAGAGGGAAGAATTTTAGTTACAGATGATGAAATTAAAAATAGATGGGAGACTTATTTTTCTAAACTTTTCAATGATGGAGAGGATTCATCTAGTAACTTGGAGGATTTAGTAACTGGTGAAGGAGAACAAAATTTGTCATTCTATCGAAAAATACGTGATAAGGAGGTAAATGAAGCTCTTAAGAAAATGGCAAATGGTAGAGCTAACGGACCTGATTGTATATCTATCGAAGCGTGGAAATGTTTAGGTGAAGAAGGGGTGAGATGGTTAACTAAGTTATTTAATGTGATTTTACGGTCCAAGAAAATGCCTGATGAGTGGAGGAGAAGTACATTAATTCCTATTTATAAAAATAAAGGAGATATTCAGAATTGTACTAACTATAGAGGGATTAAACTCATGAGCCACACAATGAAATTGTGGGAGAAAGTAATTGAGCACAGGTTGAGATTGGAGACAAGTATTTCTGAGAATCAATTTGGTTTTATGCCAGGTAGATCAACTACAGAGGCGATTTATCTACTAAGGGGATTAATGGAAAAGTATCGTTGTAAAAATAAAGATCTACACATGGTTTTTATTGATTTGGAAAAAGCTTATGACTGTATACCAAGAGAAGTGCTTTGGAAAGCGTTGGAAAAAAAGGGAGTACGGATTGCTTATATTAAAGCCATACAAGATATGTATGAGGGGGTAAAAACTAGTATAAGAACGCCTAGTGGTCAAACAAAGGATTTTCCTATAAAGATTGGGCTACATCAGGGATCATCTCTGAGTCCTTATTTGTTCAACTTGATTTTAAATGTTTTGACGGAACATATTCAAGAGGAAATCCCGAAATGTATGCTCTTCGCGGATGATATAGTTCTTATAGCAGAGACAAGAGAAGAGGTTAATTGCAAACTTGAGTTATGGAGGAGGACATTGGAGTCGAAAGGTTTTCGTCTGAGTAGAAGTAAGACGGAATATTTATATTGTAAATTTGATAAAGGACTATTCGAAAATAATTTGGAAGTGAAATTGGGAGATCAAATTATACCTCAAGTGGAAAAGTTTAGATATTTGGGAGCCATTATCCAAAATGATGGCGAAATCAGTGGAGATATTTCACATAGAATTCAAGCTGGGTGGTTTAATTGGAGAAAAGCTAAAGGAGTTATTTGTGACCGTAAGGTGCCTAATAAACTTAAAGGAAAGTTTTATCGTACTGCTATCAGACCGGCAATGTTATATAGTAGTGAATGCTGGGCTCTAACGGGACAGCAAGAGCATAAAGTTGGAGTAGCAGAGATGAGAATGTTACGATGGATGTGCGGACATACACGTAAAGATAAAATTCGAAATGAGCACATACGTGAAAAAGTGAGGGTGGCACCTATTGAGGAAAAAATGGTAGAAAATCGGTTGAGATGGTTTGGGCATGTACAAAGAAGACCAAGGGAGGCACCAGTGAGAAGAGTGGAACATATAACTTTGAGTCCGATTAAGAGAGGTAGAGGAAGGCCTAAGAGAACACTCTTGGAAGTTGTTGAACGTGATCTCTTAATTAATAATATTTCTAAAAGCTTAATAAATGATAGAGCACAATGGCGTCTTGCAATCCATGTAGCCGACCCCACCTAGTGGGATAAAGGCTTGTTGTTGTTGTTGTTGTTGTTGTCTCTATATAACTAAATTATTTTTGTTGGGATTTGAGATATTGTATTATTATATTGATTGAATTCACTGGATGATCTAAATCTCTGGGGCTATAAAAATTATTTTCGAATTATTCTAGATTTTTACTCTCTTGCTCCATTTAGTAGTGGTATTCCTCCGTACTCACTAAATTTATGACTTACTATAAGAGTGACTTAGTTGATATTCTATTGCCCATCAAAGACATGCTTGTATAATCATAGTAGTTTTGAACAATTCACGCGAGGAAACAAACTTAGAGCGTGGCTTGAATTTCTGTGCTGTTAATTGATCTCAAGTGAAAATTTTGAGGAAATCCTACTGCGAGATACTGAGAGAGATTGATGGCAAAAGTATTTGATTGTATTTTTATTTTAGATTGAAGATCATCCAACTGAACTTCTAGTAGACTCTACTACAGACTTTAATGATGAAGTTCAGAAAGCCATAGAGGAATCATCTTTATCGCATTCAGCGGAAGCTAGAATTAGCAACTCACATGCTGAAACTGCAACCTCCTTGGGTAGTAGCATTCAATCCTGTGAGAATGCTAATCTTCAAGATTCTTCCAGAAGCGTTGCAACTAGAAATCAGAGGGAGTGCTTGTTTCAAGGAAAGAAGTCGGTTCCTTCTTGTGAGGTAAGTGCTGATAGTAGTCACAATGAACCTTATAGGGGTAGCAACAACACAGCTAGTACTTCATTCGTAGAACAGAAGTCTTCAGACTCAGTCTGTGTAAATAGTTCTGCTAACAAGGATGCAGTCAGTAACATTGATAATTCAGTGGATAGTAGTATCACTCCAATATCTCATGAGACATTGCATCTAAGCAGTTCATCCCCTCAACTGTATGAAAACTCCAGTTCTCGTGAAATTCATGATGAGATTCACAGCGTTACAGCTACAGCTTTCCAGAATTCTGGTTCAAATCCTGATTCTCGAGTTTCCGATATACCAGTAACTTCTCTTTTGCAACAAAATGAATCTCGTGAAGAAGCAATTCCCCCAAGTCTAGGGTTTCTTCTTCCCAACAGGGAAGGAGAACATGTATATGAGAGTGTGCTTCATGTTGATGTGGTTGCTATATCGTCCAATACTTTGTCTCATAGCAATGCTGATTCCATTGATCATAGTACGAGAAGAAATAGTAGGAGACAATTTTGGGATGCCTTTTCACATCGTAGGTCTAGAAGGTTTCGTATTTCTCCAACCATTGTCTTCTCAGCTGGTGATCCTGATGACATAGCATCTCAAGACCAGTGGCTTCTTGATTTGAGCAGTGGGCTCTCAAATGATGAGGTTGGAGAGGATTTTGAATATTTTGGAAGTAGAATCCGCAGATCTAATTCGCGAATGCTGCACTCGAGATCTCAGGTGATTCTCAATATTTTTAATATAGATTGCTTTTAAGTGCCTTAGTTGCTCAGTTGACTTTGATATCTGAGTTTTATTTCCTTGTGTATATAGATCTGGGAAAGACTTCGTGATGGCCTTAATGAAACTGATCAGTGGACTAATTCTTGTCCACTAGGACTTCACCCTGATGGAAGGTGTTCCTGTGAACCTTTCTCCACGACTGAGGAATCTAATACACGAGCAAGTATGTCAAGAATAGTCTTGCTTGCAGAAGCTTTATTTGAGGTTGTATCCTTGTCTCGAGTCTCAACTATGTTATACAATTTTCCCTGCAGATTTCTGTAGCTAACATTCAGTTGCATATTTTTAGTCATATTTCGTGATGATTCATTTTACATGTTTTTTTTTTGGGCTTCCTTTAACTATTTTTGGCCCTTTTCATTACTATCTTGTGGTGTTATGTTCATGAGTTTTTCAGGAGTAGTTCGTTTTTTCTAATTCGGGATATATGCTTCAATGCTCAGTAAACTCTTGTTAGTCTATCTTTATATTTGGGTATTTGAACTCTGCAAATGTCTTTTGTTCATGTCTCCATTTACCAAATTTGCATCTTTTCATTCTAGCTCAATATGAAGATTTTACTTATGGGATGTAAGTTGTGTGGCTCCATACGGCAATGGATTAAATGTTCAATTTTTTTATTGTTTCATTGTGGGGACCAAGATAAGTGACGTGCTTATCTCTTATCCTGTTAATTAAGAATGGATATCATTGAAACTCCAATAGAATGAAACTTTAAATTGGATCCGAAAATTCTAGTCCATATTTCAAAATTGCAGGATGCTCGAGCTCATGTCATCATGAATATTCAGGTTGATTGGTTGTGTCAAGATACTCTCCCACCCTTTTGTTCGTGGCTACTTGTGTAGTCGTGCTGTTACTCTTTATAGGATGTAAAGTCATGCTGTGATCCTCTCTAATTTTTAAGTGATCTATCTCTATCTTTTATAATTGAAGCCTGCTGAGATTGTGAGAAATGACGGTTAGCCTTTGTTAGTTAGCATGCTTTGTGCGGCCAAAAAATGAGTTTCATCAATAGATTATAAAATGGTTCGAACACATCCATATTCTATTCAACTGTAAAGAGTCTAATATGTGAAATGTTGCCATTTATTTATTTACTGCAGTTTTTAGATGAACTTCATCGCCAGCCCACGCCATTTTCATTATCTATGGCCTCTCTCCCAGCAGCAGAATCAGTTGTTGACTCTTTTCCTCTGAAGTGTCACAAAATGGTTGACACCGCTGATGGTGGTAGTAATACTGAACAGTAAGTCTCTTTGTTCCTACTATCAAGTTACCTTGAAAAAATGTTAGGGTGCATAAATTAGGTCAAATTAGAACCTTGGGGGGGATCTCTTCATGACTCTGTCATTGTGAATATAGTTAATTAGTTTGCTAAACTATGACCTAAGTGAATTTCATCAATTTTTTGTTGTTGTTGTTGTTGCTGTTTTTGTTTTGTTTTTGGTTGATCTGAGAAAATTGTTTTTATTTAAAGCAAATTATGCTATCTTCCTTTGAGGGTTTTGAAATACAATCACCAACAGCGGCGGAGCCTCATGTAATTGTGCCCCCCTCACTTGGAAAAAGTGACATGTTTGGGAGTGTAGGTTTTTATATTTTGCCAATTTGTATCTTTTACTTATTATACTTTGCACCTCATTATTTTCATATTTTAAAAATTTAAATCCATTTCAATCTTACTTTTTTAGTCAAGATCTATTGAAATTTTTAACTTAGCCTCATGAATATTAGCCCACAATTTCACTGCACCTAAATACTAATATTATTTATTAATTGTTTAAAAATAGAAAAAAATCTAATATGACTAAATAGACTCACTCCTCGTCCTAAATATTACTCAAAGACTAGTTAAAAAAAAGCAATGATAAATAATGAATTTACAATTGAAAGTTGGATAGGGAATAAAGAAAGAAAAAAAGAGAAATAGTTGATTTGGAAGAAACGAAAATGCCTTTCTTTTATCGAGAATTCTAGCTCTGTCATTGCCTCTCCGACCTAGGATCCTGGCTTCGCCACTGATTACCAATTTCTACAGAAACTTCCCTTCTACTAACAAGACTGTTTACAAAGCTTGTATCCCACACAGTATTCATCTTGAAATTCAGAATAGCATAATTTAATGCAGTACGAATCACCAAAAGACAAAATGCTTATGACAACTTAAAATATGAGAGGTGTTAGTTTGATTTTCACGTAACCAGAGGGGCTGAGCTAGGTTTTATGAATTTCATCAGGAGAGTCTAGTGTAAAACTGAACCTGAAGGGATGTGCAAACTTAGTTCTCAGATTGCAAACAAGTTGTCAATCTAACGGAGAAATTTTTTGACTGTGAATTGTACTCAATTGTAAGATTCATAAAAATGAAAAATTGCTAGAAATATGTCATAGAATTGATGTATATATCTGTAAAATAAACAAACAACCCAACAAAGTTGACCGAAGAATTGAAATATGTCATCATCAAAACTGACAAATCATTTACAAGCTAAGTATCAATGACACCTGTAACTGTTTATTTCCTGTTTATTTCAAAACCAAAGGGGAGGTGAGTGTGATTTGTCATTTATTTATTCTTAAAAATATATTTAGCAGTTGAGAATTGTTCCTTTTGTCAACTGTTTGTTATGATGATCAACTTGCTAGATGTTACATATGCCTGGTGGAGTATGAAGAAGGGGACAAAATTCGTGTTCTGCCTTGCAATCATGAGTTCCACATGGCATGCGTTGACAAGTGGCTTAAGGAGATACATGGGTATTGTCATTAAAACTTGATTCTTCATTCTTTTCTATTCTTTCTTAATTCCATTATTACTGCAATAATCATTTTTCCACGTCTGCTCTTTCCCCAGTATATGTCCCCTGTGTCGTGGAAATGTCTCTGAAGGGTTCACCGAGTCTTCTGCCTCAGACACACAAACGTCATCTCACTGATTTTGTGTATGTGCGATTGTAAATATTAGCATCATTTCCGCTCCTTGGTAATGATACGCCTAATGCTTTTATTAGTATGAGATTGTAACTGAATTGTTATGCTTTTCCCTGAAAAATAAAAAATTGTATAATTTTACTTCAAGGAAATCCGGGAGCTGCGGGAAATTCATGGCGATGCTTGGTATGACAAATTTTTTTTTTTTTGTTGGGAAAATCGCTATTATTCCCTCTAGAAGAATTCTAATTACTCAAAAATCCCATGAAATGAAGAAGTCTGGAAAGACCTTGGTGTAAATAATTTTTGTTGCCTAATTATTTGACTACATCTGATCTGATGTGTTGAACTCATTTTCCTTCTCTGCATCTTCCAACTACACACCTCAGATTGGCAAAGAAGGTATCGGCATTTCTTTCGATTTCAGTCCTCCTTGGCTGACCAGAAGCACCGTCATCAACCCCCACGCAAGTTTCATGGTAGCTAGCCATTATTGCCTGCTTCTTTCTGTCATGAAAATAGGAAGAAAATAATGCGACACTTGCCCCTTTGAATGTTGTTTCTTTCTCCCCTTGAATAAGTTTCGCTGACTGCAAAGAATATTGCTTCTAATTGAGGGCAATGGTAGACCTTTTGCAGTTACAATAAATTGCTATATATGTAAAGATAAACTTTCAATCACTTATTTAAATAGTTTATTTTGTATCTGTTGTTTCTTTTTTTTTTCTTGGATTATAAAAAAAAAGTCACTTGTTTATGTAACGATAGATTCCACAATTTATGGCAATTTAGTTGCAGTTTAAAGTTGTTTGACTATTTTTTATTTAATAATTTTAGAAATAAATTTAGATAAAATAATTTGCAATTATATTTTTATTAATATGTTAAATTATTAAGTTTTATCATATGTAAATTTTTATGTAAAATTTATCATATTAATATTTTTATGTAAAATATTAATTAACTACTTTTTCCTTCTTGTTTTTCATGTTCAGCCAACTATAATAAAATAAAATCACATCTTTTTTTCTATTTTTTCCTGTCCATTTTCTCCTTTATTTTCTTTTGCAAGCTCTTTCTTGTTAGCTAGCTACTTTGTTTATATGTACCCAGTGTTATACTAAATGGGAAATAAACATATGGATCTATAAATTGATGAAGACAAAAATCTTCTGAAAGTGTTGATAGGATGGGAGTGGGACAAGGGGAATTTGGATTCTTTTACTTGAAGAACAGTGTTCTTCAGTTCCTACAATAGATGTAAATATTAATAGTAATCAATTAATCACAATTCCTTTTGGGTGGGCCTACTAAACATGAACACGAAGATATTATGGTTACAAGGCAAGCTTGCCATAATTCATGAGTAAATGTATATTTTTGTTTTTAAAATATTCTCTAAGGAGTATTTTTGAAGAAATTAAAACGGATTATTTTTTGCCCTTATCATCAAATTTTCAATATTGACTGTTAGAAAATGCTAATTGATATTCTAAAATTAACTATTAAAGAATTTAATGACAATTTAATGACAAGGACAAAAATACTCTATCTAATAGGTTAAGGGTATTGAGTGCTTCTCGAAGAATATTTCAACAGCAAGAATACACATTTACCCTATAATTCATTGAGGCATCAATGCTTAATCAATTCCACTTACTATGAGAAAATGGATTGATGGTACTGCTTCCAAATGGGTTGATATTATTATTATTACTATGATGTTGATGAGGATGAGCAAAAAGATTTGGGTGAAAATTTTCTCCATCTTCATCAAAGGTTGCCCAACGCTTTGATCTGTTGTTGCTGTGCTTCTCTCTAGCATTGCTTCTCATGTTTTCCATTTCTCCAACATGCTCTTTGAATTCTTTCTTCACCACTTCCAGCACTACATCTCCATATTTTTCACACCAAGACCTTCATCACAGCCATAAAAATAAATAAATAAATATATATATATATATATATCAGATGTAATGTAATTTTATAAACTATAAATAATAGTACCTCTGTCCTAAATTATAAGATATTTTTAAAGAAGATTCGATATATTCTCTCTCTTTAAAATAAAAATAAGGTTTCATTAATGATATTTTTTCATTATTAACTTTCTCATATGTTCGCTCTCTTTAATAATCTTTTATAAATAGAGTATTAAATGGAGGGTATTTTTAAAAGCTTATATTTTTGTCTTGAGAAAAATAAGGTTACAAAAATGTAAAGTATATTTAATAAGTTTTATCTGTACATGATAAAATGCATGATAAAAGATATTTCAAAAGAAGCAAAAAGAAGAATATTATCTTTTATGAGTTTATGAGTCATTATCTTTTATAATATATATATATATATATATATTTATTAAGCTTAATTTTATCTAATGCATATAACTTTTCATATTAGTTTAAGTCAAACTTAAATTTGGATAACCTATATCCAACCCAACATTAAATTGGTGGCTATCAATGTATAAACTTATATTCAAAATATTTAAAACAAAAAACAAAACAAAAGCTTTTTCAAGAAAACAATAATCTTTTTTGGCCTTTTGCGGCAAATGCTACAAATAGTTAAAATTTTTCAAGATATTGCATGAACTTATATTCAAATTATTAAAAACAAGAAACAAAAGCCTTTTCAGAAAAACAATAATATTTTTTTCTTTTTGAGATAAATGCTACAAATAGTCAAAAAATTTCAAGATATTGCATGATAGAAAATAATTATAGAGATAATTTAATTTTATATAGAAATCAATCTCAATATTATAATAAAAGTGGAGCATTGTCAAGTCATCATCTAAAAATTGATATGATAGAAATCTATAGTGAGACCATGAGGATGCCAACTAGCTTCACTTTATAATTACTGGAAATCTAGGTTGCTATACTTGTGTGGGACAATTAAGCTACATCATACTCCCTCTGCATATCACAATATATGTTACAGGTAATTAATTCATATTTTACAATATATATATATATATATATATGTATATGTATATGACTTTGAGTTTTTCCAGTAACATGTGCAATGTTTTTAAATATATACTCCCTTTATTTTAAATTATAAGATATTTTTAGACAAAATTTCGCATACCAATAAATCTCATTAAATACACTTAATAATTTTTTTTTCAAAATAAAAAATAAACTTTTAAAAATATCCTTTATTTAATAACCTTAAATTTACACTTAATTAGTGTTAAATAAAGAGAAATAAAGGATAATATATGAATAAGCTCATTTAATGAAATCTTAATTTTCTCAAAGTGTTTTATATTTTGAGATGCAAATCTCTCCTAAAAGTGTCTTACTTAAAGACAAGGAATAAAAAAAATCAATGGTATAAACGGTAAAAGAAAATTTACCAAATGCAACTTATATCCAAAGAGAATATTACTATAAAATGCTTATGTGGAGGAATGTTACTAAGAGCTCAACAAAAAAATATGGCAATATCATGATTCTTGTAAAGAGCCGTGACATTCCTAAGCCTTCTAAGTAGGAGGCTAGAACCTTAATTTTAATTTTAAAATAAAAAAGTGTATCATTGTTCAAAACGTGAGAAGGCTAGTTATACTCACAAGACTTATACTCTCTCCAATCCTTTTTATAAAGATCTATTAATAACTAATTTGTTTAATTACCATCACTAAAAGTACAGGAGTTTATTTAGCTAGTGTATTGACCAATTTAATAAAATGCTTTGTTTATGATCTTGATTATGGCTCGACTAAAGTTTTGATCATCAATCATTGAATTAATATTTGACTGATTTAATGACTGACTTCAGACAAATCATGCTGTATTATGAAATATGTAGGATGTCCTTATAAATAGTTTTTGGAATGGACTGCTCACTTTTATATATGTTACTTATGCAGCATAACATGTTACTGAACCTAAAATTTCATGAGTTTACTTGTTACAACTCTAACAGTATAAATAGTCAGAGTTTAACTACAATTTTAATTTGAAAAAAACAACTTTTATCATGGAGTTGTGTAGAAATTTCTTCATAAAGATTAGCAACTTACTTTGGAAAGTAGTTTTTCAACTCGGCCTTGTCCACTGGAAGTTTTGTAGAAATTTCTTCCATTTGATCATTCCTGTTTATTCAACCCGAATCATTGTTGTTAGATGCTATATAATCTAAACTAAAAAAAGAAAAGAAAAGGAAGAATATAATTGTTGGTCCTCATACTTCTAGCATATTTTGATATTAGTTCTTCTTCTTTTTTTTTTCCCCAAGGTTTGAAGTCCCTTGAATTTCATCTACATGCAACACTAGCCATATATTTTAAAACGTGACCATAATAACTTAATGATTGCTGACATATGCATAAACTCTGTTCTAACTCATTATAATTTTTCAACAGAATTAAAAAAAGTTATGCATTTAACTATGTCATTATAAGGATTAATGTTATATAAAACTTAAAAGGATTTGGAGTAATGAAAAAAAGTATAGGAATTAATATCAAAATACACTAATTTTAGTATAGGGACCAAAACTTGTATTTTGCCTAAGGAAAATAATAATAATAATAATAATAATAAGGATGTTTGTTGAGAAGACATACGAAAATTGAAGACTTCGGTTTGTAGTGCTCAGTTCTGCCTGGATTCTTGACAGTTCTTTCTTTATCTTCTCCCCCAAAACCTAATAATCACACGCAAGAATTGGTTCGACAAGCAGAATCACTTTGTTATTCAGAGATTGATGATGAAGATGAAAATGAAAGAACTCAATCAATCAAACCTTATCTATGAAAAAATCAGATGGTGAGCCATCAGAATGCAGCTTCTTCTTAATCAACTTGGTGTCTGGTCCTTCTCTAAGAGTTCTTATGGTATTATTAGCTTGAGACGACGCTGTTTCATCTCCTGATTCACTCTTCTTCCATTTTTTGAACCCATCAAAACCCCATTGATGCTTTATTGCTGCTTCATTTCCCTCTTTCTGGTCCTTCTGGAACAGACTCTTGAATGGCTTCCTCTTCAGCTTTTCTGCTGCACCAGAGCTTTCCTTCATGGGTTCTGGAGGTCCACTTTCCTCCATGAGAATCGAGCTTTGTTTTCCCTTTGAATCCATACCCAAAGAAGCCGATTCAAATATGCTCTTCTCTGTTCTGTTGTTTCCAGATTTGTAAGCAGACATGAAGCCGAAAACAGAGGCTGATCCTTTAATATTCTTTGATTTGTTCTTTGAGTTTATGTTCTCTTTAAAGGATTGTTCGTCCTTCAAGTCAATCACTGACCATTCTTCTTCTGAATTCTCCTTCGTGTCCTTCGATCCTCCAACGATCACATCTCTGGCTTCAATCTCAGCCCCTTGAACTGCCAATCTCTGAAGCAACGGCCTCTTCGAAGAATGGTACTCTTCCTCAGAAATGCATTTCGCATAAAGAAGCTCCTAAAATCAAAACAAACAAAACACACAAAAGGGTATCTAATTCAAGATCTGACCCTCTTCATGAAACATTCAGGTGAGTAAAAAAGTTTTAACCTTTACGCATACCTGCAAGAAGAGTAATTTATCCCTTAACACGACAGGGTGTTCATGATCTGGCGGAGAAGCGATGAGTTTCTCGAGCAAATTTGTTCTGAAAGAGACAACCTCGGATTCAACTACAATCCCTTCTTTGTGAAGACCCATGAGATTGAGAATCTGGTGGAAAGAGTCTTGCTGCCATTTGAGGTTGTCGGATTGCAGCTTCGACAGCTTCAGCTCCGACGCCGGCAAGCACCGTTTCTTGAAGCTGAAAGGGAGGATGGTCTTGCACAGAGACGTAATGGAGTCTTGGAGGGTGGAGTAGTAAGCGGGCGTGTACGAGTACACCATTTTCGAATTACTGTTATCAGATCGAGGACGAGAATAGGTGAGAGATTCGACGACAAAAGATTGAAGTTTTTTATTTTCCACAAACTCGTTCACCTTTATTGTAGATTTTGGGGTTTTGAATGTCAATTCAATGAAGGGCGTTTTCTGTAAACGGTGCTTCAGAGGATTGGGTTGGGAATTTGAATTAGAGACGATGAGCTCTCGAGCAAACGGTCACTTGAGTTGAATATGAAGCTGAAATTAGCCGTTGGGCGTGAGGAGGCCATTCACATGCATGGGAGCCAACAACGGCGTCGTTTTAAACAAATATAGATTTTCCTGAGAAAAATTGTACATTGATGTTTTTTCCCCCCAAAGTAAATTAATGTTTGTTAGGTAATGTATTTTTGTTCCTCATAGATATTCTTTTATTTGAGACAATCATGTTCAAAGCACGATTAGCCATTAAATATAGGCATTTTTTTTTGTGAGTATTTGAACTTCAATTCATCATATTATAAGAAATTAACCTCTCTTATTGATCCCAACTCTAGTTTGTCGTTAAATAATTTATCTACTCTTAATGTAGACAAAAGTATTATTTGTATAAATATTGGAATTGAATTTTTTGAATTTTGAAGAAAATAATTAATTAAATAAAATATCATAAATCTTCAAAATCTAATTTAAAATTAATAATATGAGATTTTAGATATAAAAAATGACTATTATATATTCACTTTATAAATATTCAAAATAAATAAAAAATAAAAAATATTATATAAATCAATTTAATATCAATATATAATAATATCAAGTTAAAACAACAAATAATACACACACACACACTGTTTTTCGGAAGCATTCTCAAGAGAAATATAAGCACTTTGACGGTACAAAACTTCAATATTAAGAGATTCATTTCAACCTCAACATTGATGCACGTGAGTCTCTCCTTATAGATATTAAACAAAACAAAACAAAAATCTTGGAATGATTATGAATGCAACCTGTGATGTCTGCAATCGTTATTGGAGAGACATTGAATTATTGATCATTTGTCCTACACAAATGTGATGGTGGGAAAATGTCCCAACAACATCTCCGACCTTTTGATTTGAGCGTGTCATCCTGACACAGGAGCTAGGGTTGTGTATCCTGCAAGGCCATTAAGGCCAAAACCTTAGGCCTCAAAAAATTTAAACTTACACCCTATATACCGATCAATATTTTTCTGTTAAGCATTGATCTTGGTTAAATATTTTTAATACGAATTTATTTCTTGCTAATACCTTATGTAACCTGTTATCATTTTTGCATTGAGCATTAATATTATATCATTTTCATTATCAATATCAATCTCATTCTCTATATCAATTAATCACTCTCTAACTTAAAGGGTGACATGCATATATTATATTAAAAGATTAAATTCTTTTTTTTTTTTTGATCAAATAGGAACCCTTCATAATAATGAAAAGGCAACTACAATAACCTAAAAGAGAGACAGATCATTCATCAATCACCTTCATAAATTCAAGAAGGGAATTAGTCAAAGATACAATAATGCCGCTCTAAAACATGAGGTTTTTTTTTTTTTTTAATGTAAATGGCAAGCCTAAAGCTTGAGATTTACATTACAAGAAAACACACAACTTAGGTAACATTGACCTATCTTCGCATAGCATAGCGTGCAAGTCATCCAGAATTACATGGACAAATTTTATCCTAGGACACTATAAATGAGCTCATTGAAGGACTTCCCCATAAGCATGGTGCATCTCCACCTCGAGGACACTATAAATGAGGTCTCGTGTAGCATTAATTTCTTCTTTCCAAGGGTGATTAGCTATATAATCTTGCAAAATCATGTTAATGGCGTCCAAGGAATCAAAGTAAAGATGAAACCTATGAAACCTAGTTGTTTACATGCCTCTAATCCTGTCTTAATTGCCAATAGTTTTGCAACCACGACCAGAATGTCTCCTAAGTCTCGTTTGAACCCACAAACCCAATTGCCATTTGAGTCTCAAAGAAGCCCACCAAAGGCAACATGATGCCAAGGGTTAATTGAAGCATGCACGTCCGCTCAAATGGTATTACTAGGTGGAGAGATCCAAGTATAATCTGATGCAATGGAATATGGTAGAACAATGTGCTTTGGTGTTCCAACAGCAATGTGCTTGTGCATATGATGCATACAACTATGGGTTAACTCCTTAGCAGTGAGTTGAGAACCTTTAAAAATAGATTTGCATCCTCCAAAGTAGCTAATAGCCAAAACCAAATAGCTTCGTCCAAGGCCATTTTGAAGAAGCACTCCTAGCTGGGTTGTGTTTTGCATTCCAATCAAGCCATTCCTATAAATAACAATTAAAAAATCTAGGATAAAGGTCAGTAGAAATCAAGTTTGGCCAAAAATCCTTTGCAACAGCACAATACCTAAGAATGTGTAAAATACTCTCTTCACTATGACACTCAAGGGAGCATTCACCAATGGGTGAAAGTCTCATTTTGGCTCTTAGTGAATTAGTGGGAAATATCTCTTGAAGGGCTTGCCAAAGAAAGAATTTAACCTTTTCTAGAAGTGACAATTTCCAAATTTTCTTCCAAAAATGTCTTACTATTGAGTCATGCTTGTGATAAATAAAGTTATAAACGGATTTAACTCTAAATCTATCATCTGGAGAAGCTCTCTAAAAATAAGAATCATAGTTAGAAAGGAAAAGAGGAAGGACAATACAAATATTGTTCACAACCCAATCGGGCAAGAAGCTTTTCCAAGCCATAATATTATATAAGCCATTCAGTTGCACATCAATGACACTAGCATGAGGATTGAGGAAACTATGGTTCTTGTCCACAAGGGTGAATAAAGGTTGATCTATTGGGGTCCAAAGGTCCCACCAACACTTGTTATCCAAACCATTACCCTATTTCCTCCCAAGACTAGAATAAAACCAATCCCAAACATCTATGATTGCTTGCCAAACACAAAATGAGGATCGTTTTTTGCAAACAAAAGGTAGATGGGGATCACTGCAACCATAGTTAGTCTTTAAGCAGTTGACCCAAAGAGTGGACAGCTGTGTGAGAAGATTCTAACAAAGCTTTATGAATAAGGCCATGTTCTGGCTATAAAGTTTTTAAAACCCAACCCTCCACGTTGCTTATTCTCCTTAGCCATTTTCTAGGAAATAAGATGCACCTTCCTCTAAGACATGAGCTTTAGTTGCTCACGAGTGCGCACAACTAATGACATCTCTATAAGCAAAACTGATAAAAACAAACCAATCCCTATTAATCACATTATAGGCATTTAAAATAATGTCAGCATGCCAAACGCAACAAAAGAGACCCTTCCAGAGCTTCTTACTAACCTTTATCGATTTGGGAGGCTTGTTAATTGCTCAGAAGAAACCGAAGAACAAAATGTTTGCTCACATCAACAGAAATGAATAAGAATGTGAAGGCATTGATGACAAAATCCAGCAGAGAACGAAAAATAAAGTGGAGGGTGGCGAGAAGCTCAAGTCACAAAAGCCAAGATGCCAGGTGAGGCTTTTGAGCTCAACATTAGCGGGGAGAGATTTTATTAGAGAAGGAGAGAAGCTGAGGATTTTAGAATCAAGCTCGATTAGCCTCTAGTCTTCACAAAATAATCTATGGGCTAAATTGAAACTGAGGGGACTCGAATAGGGAAAAACAAATAATAGAGTAAGAGAGTAAGAGAGGTGAAAAGATAGAGATGATAGACATTGCTTTACAAGGCTTGAGATTTATCAACTGTTTTTTTTTTTTAAGTTTGAAAATATAGAGTTTTTAAATTTAAAAGAAAAAAAAATAAGAGGGAGCTTTTTTCTAGACCCAAAATCACGACACACAATCCAAAATTAAGCCAACACTTTATTTTCCTTAAGGCATGGCTCTATAAACAGTACCACTAACTCTATGAACAGTATTATGAGTCAGGAGCTACGCTAAGCCACTTTCAGGAATTGGCTTCAACCATTTTGTTATATATGATATATTGATATTGATGACTACTCCTATTATAATTATCTTTTTTTTTAATAAAAATCATGCTTTTAAATAGGGGTAACTTAAAAAGTTATATTTAATTTTTAAACAATCTTAGTGATTTAACTATATCCCTTGAATGCTTGTAAGATGGTTAAAAGTTTCATATATTTAGAACCTACAAGAGTATTAAATAACTATAGATAGATGGATGGAATTATCAACTTGTGTGGACATAAATTAAAAACAAAGTAACCTTGGCTGATTGGATCCAGCATTCCTATGCATGAAGAATCCAAAATAATTTTTAATTTCTTTTCAAGAACTTTGAACAGTACTTATCCACCTGGATGCAATTCAAATTCATATTTAATTAGTATTAGCTAGTCCAAATTGAAAACAAAATTGTAATTGGATTCTACTATTCAAGTTTACCCAGTCGTTTTCTTTTTTCAAGGTCTTTCTCAACCATCGGCCGACCTAGCTTAAAATGTCCCTGTTTCATTGTTTTAGTTTTTTTTTTAAAAATGACAACATAAAAAACGAGGAATCCGGCATCCTAATTTCTACGAAGGTCTTTGTAATTTACTAATAAAAACATCTACACCTTATACATTTAAAATATTTGTTTTTAGGGGTAATGAGCATCACAAATCCTAAGTTATTATTTTAATAGTCTTGGATTATAAACTCTTAAAATAAACATCCTAGATCTTGAATTATTATTCAACTGACAAACTATTCCTACTGTTAATTTAAATATAACCCCTGTTACTTTTGACTTTGAATGGCCTAGTCAAATGCTGATGTGGTACTAATTCTTTCTTGACACATGGCATGATAGTTGAGCTACAAAATGGTTAATGTTGTATGGATAAATGGTGGGAGATAGTTTGCTCAGAATTTACAAATTGACGAGAGTTTTTGTTTATTTTAAGAATTCATGATTTAAGATGCTATTTGAGTAATAATTTTAGGTCTAAAATGCTCATTAACCCTTGTTTCTAATATGAATTTTCTACATATTATTTATTCTATAATAAAATTTTGTTATTCATACTATTAATATATTAAAATTTACTTATTTTGATTTGGTTGGATAAAAATATATTACATATAAATAAATGTTACTTTTTTTTTTTTTGGGGGCGCCAAAGATGAATGTTACGTTATAAACTATTAAGAATCCAAAGTGACAAATGACCTTTCCTTATGCATCACCGAAATTAACAATTCATCTTCCTGTGGGGTCTGATTTGTGATAGGTAAAGGTTGGTAGGGAAGTTGTATCAAAGGCTTCATGAAAAATCTCAAAAGCCATATATAGCTGCATTGTTGTGAAATTGAGTGGTACTTTTCAAGGTTTTTATAGATGCTAATGAAGAGCTTCTATATTTTCTGGTCACTTAACATCACAGTTTCTCAAAAGATAATTAAAAAAATCAGATTCTGACCTTTTTAAAAAAAAATTAACAAACATTATAAAATTATTTAACTGATGCATTCTTGTAGAGGTTGTCACTTGTCTGGCTCAAATAAATCTATAGAAGTAAGTTGACAGTTTTAGGGAGAACAATATAGTGATTCAATTAGTGAGATTAATTTAACAAAAAAACAAAAAAAAAAAGTCCACAATTAGAGCTCGATGTTCAAGTATGCCAAGTATGCAAATTTTAACCCATGATATAATAATCACCATAAGGTTAAATCAAAATATTTTTTTTAGGACTGATTCGTCCAATGTTTTAGACCTGCCGCGCTTTAATTGTAGATTTAATGGGCCTAGACTAATGTAAATTGAGCCGAGCAAACTCAACTTTTGATCAATTTTAGATTAATTTTCGTCAATTGAACCAGGCATTTGTGGTAAATCTAAATGTGTAAATATTTTTTTTATGTAACTAAATGGACCAAATACTTTAAAAACTTTTTCATTACTTCGTCACGTTCAAAACTCAGTTCAGATTTATATAGTACATATTCTCATCTAATGGAAGGTGCTGATTGATATTTTGCAAATCACCATCCATATGCCTGATATGTCAAACAAGAAACCTATCAATTCATCATCACAATCCCCAATCCCTACCAAGAGAAACAAAAGTGCGGAACCTTAATGGGATAATAAATCTAGTGAGAGATGACAATGGAAGTTCTGCAACATGGGCAATAATTGTTATTTTGCAGCCATGGCTCCAAGCAGCTGCAATGAAACCTGTGAGCACAAGGAAGATGGGTCAGTGTCTCTCCAATCTTGAATGACTCCAAGCACACAGCACAATCCTCTTGATCTGAAGCCTTCCAGCTCAGTTTCCTCCAATTGAACATCATCCTTGACCCACCACTTTTCTTTGATCCGTATACCTCTATGTGTAACTCTGGTCTTCCTTCTCTGCATTTCTCCTTCTCTTTGATGTTTTTCCTGTTAATTAATTGCAAAGTTTTATGATTTAAGCGCACAAAAGAACCATATTCATAGAAGGTTTGGTCAGAAACGAATATATACTTCTTCAATCAGAACAGTTTAAGCCTTACAGATACCATCTAGACCAACCGATGTTAAGCGATATATATACTTTACAAGATTCATCTGGATTCTAATATGTTTCAGATTTGTTGTTCTACTTGCTGATTTGGTTGTTTATTTAATTATTGTTGGCCTAGAAAAAAAAATTGATCATTGATCAGTCTGTTGGCCTAGAAATTTTTTTTTTTTTTGGGGGGGGGGGGGAAGAGATATTAACCAAGAAGCCTTGGGTGAATGGATTTGAGATTCTACCAGAAAGAGTGAGGAAGAGATTTTTCCTTTTCCGGAACTTTTAAAACACTTATCTCGAAGGAGTCCAGATAAACGCAAGATCAGCTTTGAAAAAGATTTAGACTAATGCGTAGTTTTATTAGTATTAATTAGTCTAAAGTTTAAAAGTAAAAAATGATAGTGAAGCTGTACTTGTTGACCTGCGTTTGTACAATTTTGAATCACAGATACACCGACGTCATTCTTTTCGGGTCTTAACATCAGTAAGCCAATCAAATATAGAATATAGGTCAAATTATAAAAACTATGTACAACTCACATTATTTAGTCGGAATACCTTACAAAAATCCCGTGGATTCTGGTTAATGAAGAAGAATTTTGAAATACCTTTTGTTAAGTGATTTCTTTTGAGCTGATCTTAATCTCTCATCCAATCTTTCTTTGGCTTCTCCGGCAGCTCCTGCCAGCTTCTCATCTGTTCGCGCCTGATATAATACGTTTCTTTGCTGCAGTTCATTTTCAGATTCAGAATCGAATTAAGAACGAATCACAAAAACAGAACTGTTAATCAAATCGAGAGAGAGAGAGAGAGAGAGAGAGAGATAAGAGCACGAACCTGCAGAGAAGAAGAGAAATGAAGGAATTCGTGGTTGCTTGAATATAAGCACAAGGAAGGTCGTCTGGTGAAATGAGGGCAATCAGAGGATGGCCCGGTCTGATGGAAGCGTCTCCTTCGAGCTGATTCAACTCCGGGAAGCATGCCAGCCATGGAAGACGAACGAGAATTGGTTTCTGGGGAAATGAGAGGGAAAATCGTGGTTTTCCCTCGAGTGAGTGAGAAAAGCAGATTCGCTCGATGAAAAGCAAAATTGACAGAAGATCAAGACAAAAGACCAAAAGTACTAAATCAGATGCGGGAGACAAAACTGAGTCACGCTTCGATGGTTCGGATTTGGCACAGAGAGAGAGAGAGAGAGAGAGAGAGAGAGAGAAAAATCAGAATTGCAGCTTCAACAGGGAAAATTTAGAACACGAAGAAGAGAGTTGAGAAGTTGGAAAGAATGAGGAAGTTTCCATGAAGGTGAGTGCCAATTACGAGGTAGCTTCGTTTAAATGGGAGGTCACTCATGAGATGACCGATTTATTTATGGACTAAGTCTTAACTTTATTATTTCACGCTCTAAATTTAATTATAAATTAATTTTATTTTTTAATAATAATTTTTTTTATCATCCTATTATTTATTCATTATTTATTTATTGTTGACAGGTTTTATATTACATTTTTAAAAAATTTTTATGATAAATTATTTAATTTTAGGTGTTCACTAATCTTTGAAATAAAGTTGAAAAAAATACCTTAATTTAATATTTTATAATAAAAAATATTAAAAATATAATATAGGATTCATTAATAGTATAAAAAAATGGTAGAATGAAGAGAGAAAAAAATTTTTAACATTGAAGGATAAAATTAATTATAATTAAATTTAAAATATCTAATGATCTTTGGTTTAGGAAAAAAATAATCCTTAATTTTTATTTTCATTTTTTGAGGGTCAACAAGCATGACTGATCCCGCTCGCATAAATGCACAAGAAACGGACTGTTGGTTATTGAGCCACCACTCACGTGACCCTCATATTGGAATTTAAAAGATAAATATTAAAATAAAATTAATAAAACTTAATAATTTATGGTGTTTGAGTAGTGTTTTTCTAATGTTTTTAGGATTGATAATGATCATGATATTGATAATGCATCATATGTTTTATTAAAACAAAGTAAAAATTAATACCAAAAATAGATAAAAATTAATATAATACTTTTAATTATATTTATTATTTTAAAAATATTTTACATATAAGTTCATATAATCAATTATAATTAAAATTAATCATATTAATTAATTTTTTTTTCATAATCAATTGTATCCAATTAAAATTCGAATACACTCCAAGTTGTTGGAGCTAGACTTGACTCTAATTCACACCGTGGAGAGGCATTTTCTTGCTCTTACCTACTATCAAAAATCAATTCCAGCTGTTGAAGCCATTATTATCTATGAGAATTATTAAATTGTCAAATATACCTCAGGCATAGGCACTTTGTGGTTTGTATGCAACATAAAGAATTTTATTTTTCTCTTTTATGAAATTTATTTAATTTATAATCAATCTTAAACCTAAATAAAAGAAGAGGGTTGTGTTAGACTCTCAAATAACCAACATAAAAATTTGTTGAATCTCATATAGATATGAAAAGTAAGCTTTTTTTTTTTTTTTTTGCAATGTTAGGTTGTTGCCAGTAAGTAATGCACTACATGACTCTAATGCAATGACAAATGAGTTAAAGTCGCTACATCGGCGCCCAAATATAGTGTTAAATGAGTAAGAGTTATCATGTTATTCTGAATGAGGGTGATTAAAGAAGTTACTCTATGTGATTGAGATCAAATTTGGTATTTGAAAAGCTGAGACTTTGAATTATAAATGTATGAAGGAAGTAGAAATTATGATTCATAGAAAAATTAATATTTTGTACCTACAAGAAACTCAAGGGCCTGATAAACAAGCTAAAAATATTCAAGGTTTTAAACTTTGGTATATAAAGAAAAGTAAGCACACACAATAGGGTGGATATCATTGTTGATAAGGAGTGAAAGAAGAATGTAATAAAAGTTAACAGAATTAGAGACAAAATTATTTTCTTAAAAATGATTGTTAGATGTAAAACTATCAATATAATTATCATTTATGCATCTCATGCTGAGGCAGAAATCAGTCTTTACTCTTAAAAATGATTGTTGGATGTGAGACTTGAAGGAGGTGGATAATTATGCAAAGGTGCATAATAATTTTATTTTTCTCTTTTATGAAATTTATTTATACTTAAATATATTCATTTATTTTTACATAGGTTAAATTGTTAATATTACGATATAATTTAATTAAAATTTCTATCATTAAGAAGTATATATACGAGTTAAATAATTATAAAAATGCATGAATCACTATTATATATTATTTGTTAAGTGGACATTTAACAAATTTTGTCAATATTTACATTATAAAAGGCATCCTTTATTGTCATTTATACATTTAAAATTAATTTTAATTAAAAACATCCAAACATTTTTTATTTTATTAAAATAAATTTCAGAAAATAATATCCAAATATAATTTTTAATGTCTCGGCATTATCTCACCTATTAAGCTTGTTGATGTTGCAGTTTGGATACAGAATTGATACCTTCTACATTCTGCAATGACAAAACGTATGTTTTTAAAAAATGAATCCTTATTTATTAGGAGCATCGAGAGGTACTTATCATACACATTTGTATCATATATTCTGCAATATCTTGTCTCAGGAGATCGTTATTCACACCAATAATACTAGAGATCACTCTCTAACCTATTTGAAAAGAAAATTCTTAAGAATTAGAATAATATTTCTTAGAGATGATTGTGAAATAACAGGTCAAAGGCAGTATAGAAAGAAACTAAATTTCATGCCAACCAAAGCTGGTTTTGTTGGTTGAATTTATTCAAATCTTAATGTTGACGTGAGAATTTTTTTTTATGAATATTATGGGCTAAAGTAATATTTTAGAGACAGTTTTACTTACAAGAATTTGAAGTAAATTTTCAATCAACAATATATAAAATATATTGAAGTAATTATATAATATTTTAGAATCACATCATTCTCAATAGTCAATACTATTGATTAATTCTTATTTAAAATATCTCAAAACTTAAATAAAATGTGCACATATAATTTTCTTTTACTTTATATAGTAAAATACACTAATTTTCCTTTTATTCTTTTTAATTATAGAGATATTTCTTCTAATTTTAAAACTTATGTAGGTTTTCCTTAAAAAAAAATCAGCACCTGATTGATTTTGATTTCAAAAACTGTTTTACTATTTTTAAAATAAAGAAATAAAAAAATTGTTTAGGTAAGTATTTTGGATTTAAATATTTTAAAAAAATTATGTTTTTTTTTTTCAAAATGCACTATATTTAATTATTAGAACAATAACTACTATAAACCACTACCGTTAATAACTAGCAACCATCATTATCAATTAACTTTTTAATTTTAAAATTGTTTTTGAATTAACATAATTAAATATATTTTTTATTTTATTCTGAAAAATAATTTTGAAAATTTTATTATAAAACTTAAAAAAATGAGAATAACTACTATATTTATGTTTTTTTATTTTCAAAATGCACTATATTTAATTATTAGAACAATAACTACTATAAACCACTACCGTTAATAACTAGCAACCATCATTATCAATTAACTTTTTAATTTTAAAATTGTTTTTGAATTAACATAATTAAATATATTTTTTATTTTATTCTGAAAAATAATTTTGAAAATTTTATTATAAAACTTAAAAAAATGAGAATACAATCAAACAAGCCCTAGAACACACACATTTATGATATTTTCCTATTTATGATATTTTAAATCTCCTAACTATTTAAATTGACCTATATTTTTATAAATTGTTAAATCATATTTTTCTACCAAAATACTTTCGTAAGCATAAATGTTGTTTAAAAATTATTTATTTTACCAAAAAAATTAATTTTAATACATATAATTTTAAAATTTTCATCATATTTCAACCTTTTTAGTTATGTAAATATTTTTATATAGAGATTCTTTAAAATTTCAAATATATAAGTTGTCAAGAATAATATTTCAAACATGTACATAAAAAAAATTAATGAATTAGGAATTTGATGCAATGAGGTAGATTAGTCATTACAATTTGCATTTATTTAATCCTAATTTTTTATTAATTTTAATATGATATTTCATGAAACATTTATTTAGATATTTCCATACTTATTTATTTAAATTTAAGGGGGGAGAGAAGACAATTAAATTATGAGGTCACATTAATAATTTAATCCCAAGTTTTGTATTTGGAATAAACTAGTTAGGAGAGTTCTACCGTTTATTCTATATACTCTTGAGGATATTAGATTATGCATTTGGTGTGGAGCATACTTCTTGTGCCTCACCAAGAAAATAGAAGGTAGATATTTGTAACTTATCAAAATAGATGGTAGGTAATTATATTTTACTTTTTAAAAATTTTAAACTAGAATTCCTTATATGTTATTCAAAAATATATATTTTCAAACAATTGGTAAGAAAGGACCTAGGTCCTTATGAGAAATTTCAGAAATCCAAGGTCCTTATTTATAATTTTTTTATTATTTGGTCCTTTTCTTGGAAGTTCACCTTTTATTTATGTTTATTTGATTACTTTCATAGCTAGATACGTGTTCATCCATCTCACGGCTGGGAAACGATGGGTTGAAATTAATTATTGATTAATGATCTGGTTTGCATGTTCGAATTATTATTATATATAAATAAATGAAGATTATGAGAGACAATAATGCATATCCTATTAGGACCACTTAGTTGGGGCATTTATATTATATTATATTTATAAACCCAATGATGTTCAACCAAAGTGGTAACCTGATTAATAGATGATTCTAGGTGAAACAGATCATGATCTAATTTCAACCTATTTTGGATAGATTGGATGCAACTTATGAATAATTTTATTTATTCAATCACAGTAAACCACATATCCAATATCTAATATTTAATTCTTGGCCAAAAGATGCAGTTGTGCATATATTAATTTTATATTTAGCGAATATATGTTGTGCATTTAGAATTGTTTTTTTTTTGGGGGGGGGGGAATGTAGTGCTAGTGAGTCCCCCTTCCATGTGATCAAGAATTTAAAATAAGAAGAGATAATTAAAAAAAATTCCTAAGTCATATATTGTGTGGAAAATTGTAGAGAAGGGAATGAGATAATTCCTGATAAATTCGTAGATAATAAACATGTTATAATATCAAATCAACTTGTTAAAATTTTAATTGAAATTGTCATTTATTTAGGGTTTTCAAACATCTCATTTTGCAACTAACATAGTATATTAACAAGTAAAAGTTTCAGTTAGTATTTTAACAAGTCCACTTCTACACATTCAGACATAGTGATGAGTGACCTTTATAAATTGACAAGCAAAACTGTTAAGAATA